ATCAATTCATGGATTTTTTGAAAAATTATAGTGACTTAAAATTTGCATGTATTCTTATGGTAATCACTTTTCCCGTAGGTAATTGGAGTGCCTACAACTTTTATTTGAAGCATTCTTCGATATTTTGTGAAAAAAAAATTTTCAATTTTTCCAAGATTTTTCCAAGGGGTACCCCTTCAGATTTCTCGACATTTTCGTTTTTTGCCCATAACTTCCAAACAGATGGACTTAGGGGATACTATTTAGGACCATTTTGTAGAGGACGACGAGGTCTACAATTTCTGTATAAAAACTTTTCGTTAGCATGAATAGTTTACGAGTAATTTGCAAAAAACTGTTTTTTTGTTTTTCGTCAATAACTAATTTTCCCGTATCTCCAACGGTTTAGAAGTTATTGAGGAAAAACGAAATTTTTTATCAAAAGTTCGCCATTTCGACGGTGGAATGGTCGGATTTTATCAGGACCTATAAAATGCCAATTAATCATGCTTAACTTGTTAAATACTGCATTTAGAAGAAAATTGCATAAAACCAGAGAGAAACTGCCAATTCGTCCTTAATATACGCGCCGTTTGCATCTCCTCGGTGGTACACCAAAACCACCCGTGTTGCATCTCTTTCGGGCTGGCCAGCGTTTCACTCCTCGAACGTCCCGTTAAAAATGACGAATCTCAATGGATCGAATACGCACGCGCGACCACGTACAACACTTTGCCGACAACACAGCTGCTACCAGAAACACTTCAGTGCCTTTTAATAGTATTGTTAGGCGGTTCGACTTTGTCTATTATACATTATGTCGTCCGGTGGTTGGGAATTAGTTGGAAGAAACAAGAAGGAAAAGAGCAATGGAAAGACCAGTAAACTCACGAAGGCTGAGAAAAAGAAGTTCATCGAGAACGCACCGAAAGTCGAGGATTTCCGTAAGCTATTCCCTTTAACCTACGCCAGCTCAGCTCACTTTTACTCGCTACCGTTCGCGCTTTTTATAAATGAACGCGATTCTTTAAATGAAACATTCGAGCGAAGCTCAACCATCTACTCATCAGATGATGTTTCATTCCATAAATAAAAATAGACGCGTTTCATTCCAGTGCCTTTGAGTCAAGTGAAGACTCTATACGATAATCTGGATAGTAACAAGGAAAATAAGAAACCGTCGAAGGAGAAGGAGAGCAAGACAAAGGAGAATGAGGAAAAGAAGAAGCAACAGAAACAGCAGCAGCAGCAGCAGCAGTCTGAGAAGAAGAAAACGGAGCCTCCAAAGGAGAAACCTCCCAAGTCTATAAAAGATGCGCTCAACGCGATTAACGCGGAGGAGTTTCGCAGTATTTTAACCAGCAGCCAGGCCCGATTCCCAGAAGCTCCGTTGATCTGGTTGAAGGATCTGGCTGCATTCCTTAATATGAAAATTCCTGTAGACAAAGAAGACGCCGTGTTCTCTGGGAAGCCTAAGGACTACCCGCTGAGCGTGGTGCCCAAATCGATATCCAGCACATTGGAGAAAGCCATCGAGGTGGCCGGGAAGCAAACCGCGCAACTTTTTTACGAAAACACTCTCACCGCGATGGCCACCGATCTAGCCAAGGGATCGCCCGCCGTCGGGCACAAATTGTTCTTACAACTCCTGGCGAAGATCAATCCCGAGATGACCGCCGCTAACGTCTCGAAATTGATCCGCGTGAAGAATTCTTATCAGAACAGAAAGAACATCGGCCTCTCGTTACTCTGGGCGATGTCCCAGGCTGGCAGAAGGAATCTGCCACTGGGGTTGAAAGTATGGCACGAAGTGATGTCGCCGATGCTGGAGGCCAAAAGCTACTGCAACTACGTCGCACAAATATTGAACGATCTGGTGTTCGGCCACGAGAACTGCCACGACCTCAAACCGGAGGTGTACTTCGATATAATCGAAGACACATGCTCTGGGAAGTTCAACGTCCCTGCTTCGATAGGCAGGGAAATTAATAACAGCCTCGACAAATTAAGAGTAAGCATCCCGTCATCGTTAATCGAAAGCTTCGTTCTGTCACTTATGTATTTATATTCGTTCCAGTCGATACTGTTTAAAAATAAAAATCTGAGTTGTACAAAGCTGTTCGAAACGTTGCTCGGAAAGGTCTCACCGAAGGTGCACGCGAGCTATAGGGACGAATTAGTTAAAGCGCTCGTAGGCTGTTTATGTACAGACCGTCTCTGCTTCTCCGCGTGGAGATCGCTCCACGCTAAGAATTTGTACCAATCGCATTTAATTTTAACGTACATCGGTAAGAATCGAACGATCAGGTTTTAAACATTAATTAATCATACAACGTATATCGTGAAATCAATTGTGGCTCATTATTCTAGATGCTAAATGGAGTGTCTTGCGTACGAAATTAGACGCGAAATGCTTGAAAGAAACGTGTACGCTATTTCAGACGAGCAACGAGAGGTGGAAGAAGGGCAAGGACGAGGGCCTGGCCAAGAGTTGCAACGCGATATGCAAGGTACGTGGAAATTTAATAAATCGATCGAGAACAATTCTGTCGTTCAATAAATCACATTTCCTCGATGTATATTTCCATGTAAATCCGATACCCATCGAAAATGCATGACACCTGCTCTTTCCCGGTACTCCGTTGTACGTATGCGCAAACACGCAAGTCAGAATGTTACACGTAACGTACGTACGAATTCCGCTTTGGCCGATTGCCGAAGTTTAAACGCGTGGCACACGTTTCAAACGCCGATACGGTTCGCCGACGTATTTTCGCAGCTTCTATTTCGATTTAATTGGGGAAAGAAACCAGATCGTTCAAATCCGGCGAGCCTCCGCCGCAACGAGATTCGAATTCTTAATCTAGTGTAGGTTAGATAGCTTGTTTTTTCGGGAGGAGACTATCGATCGCACATTGTCCCCTCGACATTGCTAGTGACGACATTAACATCGTTCGGCGTTCGTGCTTTTTTTACGGGCAAACGGTACACGTTGAAAACAGCACCGGGATTTTAAGGTTTTCGCCGACGATTTCAACGAACGGAAGTACGTACTCAGACACGTATACAATAATTCGCTGGTGTATGTACATACAACTAGTCATTTTCTTGTTATTGACGTTGACCTTTAAACCCCGCACGGCCGTTATCAGTGTTTGTCAAACAACACCTCGTTCAGATACGGTGATTACCTTACTCGGTCTCTTTATTCCAGGGATTATTATTGAAAATGACAGCTTCTCCGAGCAAGAAGTTCCCCTGGAGAAAAGTGGTAGTTTTGTTATTACTTCTTGTCAGTGCCGTCATCAGTTACGATGTTTACAAGCACAATGGTTTTAAAGGTAGGAAAACATCTGGCGTTTTTATTTATTCATATTGACAGATGGGTAATTTCTGGTATTACGTTTGGTGTCGATAAAATTGTAGCATCGAACACGGACAAACTCTTGAAGAGCAGTGGACTGTCCGCTTATGGGCACCAGTCATGGGTCGTGATACAAGGGTACTCGTCCAGAGCTCTCGAATTTATAGAAGCCTCGTCACCGGAATATTACAAGGCGACGGTCGATACGTGTAAACCGTATATGAAATTAGCTGGGGACGTTTACATTGTAATGAAAAATGTTTCTCTTAAATTTTACGATAACATTGTGGAGTACACTAGAAAAAACGGTCCGCGGGTGACGGAAACGGTAAGTACCGAAAGAAATATGCGAGGGACGAGATATGATGAGGATAAGTATTATATATTTAATAGATCGAACATTACGCTCCGGGAATGTTGGACGAAATTAAATTAAGGAGTAACCAGAGTTTCGAATTAGTCACAGTCTATACGAAACAGTTCTCGGAGAAGGTGTCCGACTACTGGATCCTGTCGATTGATTGGATCCAACACAATGTCTTCGTGTAAGTAGAAGAGAGGCGCGTACGAAAATGTTGATCAAAATCTTACGACGTCGTGTTTCGTTTTAGCGGGAAACTAAGTCCGGAGAATTTGCAAAATTACGCCACGAAAGCGATCGACACGACGCAGAGTTTGGCAAGTCAAACTTACGACTGGGTCTACGAGAAGATGCAGACGCTGTCTAAAGTCCCGTGAACGAAATTCACCGGACGTTAAGTAACCGGAACTTTGTTCTTCGGTGATTAACGAATAAAATCTCCTCCCACGTCTCTGCATTTAGTTCTATGATTCCGAAGTTGCTGATACATTTCCAAATACATCGTGACGGCCATTTTACCTGTGATATTTGAAGAATATGTATACGTACTCCGACGCGACGTTTTGACAAACACGTAAATTCGATTCGAAACTGTCCCCTTTAAGTTAATACTGTCTGTCGTCAAAATAATTATTAAAGTAATATATATACTACATTATTTAGTATTGAGACGAAGAACCTCTCATTTTGTATATTTACTAATATATTTTTCATTCAATGTTTCTAATACGGTGTTTGATGATAATATAACAAGTTGATTTGTGAATTTGAACAGTATATTGAATAATAAAATTATTTTTTTGGTATCGTTTTTTGTTTATATATAAAAATAATGGAGGAGAGAGAGAGAGAGAGTGTGTAGAGTACACGCGTTAATTCTATCCGTAGAATATTTAACTTAATATCACTAGACATAGCAATAAGAGTAACAAATAATATCCATAGGATGTATAGAATAATGTCGATAAATAGGTATGGTAATATAATAATTATTATTATAATTATAATAGCGCTAATAGTGCGAATTGCTAATTGCGATGATTAATGGTGACAATGATTAGTTTAACGAAAACAAAAAAGATAAAAAGAAAAGCAATATTAAAGTTTTATATGTAAAGAGATCAGTGGGACGCGGCGCGCTCGTCGCAGTCCATACAACTATGCATGTAAAAATGAGTCTCTTCATTTCCTTCCTTCTCAAAAATGGACATGGTAGAAATTATGTGTATTCCTCTGTATCGTATATAGTTTCACAGCATTTTTTCCCCTGATTATTATACGTATGAGCGTGTAATGCTAAAATGCGCATCGGTTACAAAAATTAGTACACTTCAGTCTGGGTTAATGTGTTAGAGTTCGTGCGGGAAGAAGACCTTCATCGTATTTTTATAGATCTGATTGCACAAGTATTCCTCCTCCTCGTCTCTGATCCGCGCGAGGACTTCCAAAATTTGGCTGTGGGAAGAAGCATCCGGATAACGATTAACGATCCACGTAAAAACTGCCATCAGGGATTGAAGCCATGATCAGATTGTTCATTTTTATGCAAAATAAAAATTGTAGGATATCTATTTGAGAAATGATATTTAGTATGAACATCCTTTGATCCTTTGAACGACATTCTATTCAATTTATAAACGTATGAAATCCACGATCTAGTCATGACAGCGATTTTTGGTTTTCGATTAATTTCGTAATCTTTTCAATCCCTGCAATCTGTCGAGCGAACAAATGTTAGCAATATACTTACACTATGGTACACGGTTCGTTTCTCCCTTTGACCATTTTATCGGGTTGCCATTTTTCTTTTTTCACCGACGGAAAATTGGTGATTACGTCCTTCGCGGAAGCGTGGGTAGGCCTTATTTCACACCACGGGCAATCAGTCTCTATCATCAGCCTATCTGACGGTATTGTCGTGACCGAAAACAGATTTTCTTCTGTTTTAAGGGAACTGCAATTCAAATTTCACGCACCAGTCGTACATATAAGACATCGTGAATCGGTAATGACAGTATTAAAACGTACCATCCGTTAATACCGATGTACAATCCCAATTGCAAGATAGAATTAGCTTCCTCTGGGTTCCCGTCGAATGAGTGTACGACACCAGCGGTCAACGTGTTCTTATGCTTTCTTAAAATCCTTACGAAATCCTCGCTAGCATTACGGCAATGCAGAAACATTGGTAATTTCAATGTGGAACATAAAGACAGCTGCAACTCGAAATATTTCTTTTGCACGTCTTTCGGGCAGAATTGTAGCCTGTCGTAATCGAGTCCCATCTCACCGATGGCTACAATTTTATCTTTATTGTCCGCGGCTAAGTCTGACAATGATTTAAGGTACGCATCTGGGTCGCCGCTCTCCTCAAAAGCGTTGCAATGCGTCGGGTGGCAGCCGACCGTTGAAAATAATCGTTCTGAAACAAAGTAAGACCATGTCGAATAAATTCAGAAAGAAAATCTATTGCACATGCAGTTCGATGATAGAATTGCAGCAACTGTCGCATCTCTTTTACCAGTTTTTGGGCCATTTCAATTTAGTAACAAGTGTTTAAAATATGTAAATAGTTACAGGAAATGATCTCACTTGTTTCTAAGAGCTACAGATAACTGTGAGAGACGCGACGACACGGCAATGGTTTTTTTCATTAATCGAATCTAACGAAATTGTTGCTGACATTTAAAAATAATGAACTTACCGTCTCTCCGAGCTATTTCGAGGGCCTTCCTGCTCTCTTCCATATTACAGGCAGTGATTATAATTTTCGACAAATCATTGTTCCAGCTTCGGTCTAAAACTTTATCCAGATCCGGTTCGTGTTTCTGCGATCCATGATAAATCCCTTGAAACATAGGATCTGTCAAATTGGCCCCGATATCTGTGTCGAAGAACGAACAACCGTAAAACATTATCCGTCTGCCTATAACCCTCGAGCAGCGAGCAGTAAAACAAAAATACCACGAATACACAGTTTTTAGACTCGCATTGAAAATCGCGAATCGTCAAAACGTTATCACGATTCAACGAGCAACCGATTATTTACCTATAAATTTTCTTAAATTACTCATTCTGCTGCCAGCAAGCATTCGATGTAATGACAGTTTTCTCGGATCCACTGTGCTGCCCGAAAGGGTTAGCAGGTGTCTCATTTAACCGGCGACGTTGTCGTACGTTGACAGAATTTGTAAAGCCAACGGAAAGATCGAAGTTATATCCCTTCGATTACTAGCGAATTCGATCCATTAGATAATTTTATTTTATGGAAACGAACTTGATTAACTTTCACTAGATATTTACACTTACATATCTCTATAATAGCCAATGTTTTATTCTAGCCCAATCGGTCCGAGAATGGGACTTGGTTTACACTTTTAAAAGCCTAATCATTCGTTCTTCCACATCCTCGCACACTAACGAACTTTTCACATTTAATTACTCATATGAATCTTTATATATAATATATATTTCGAAACAACGATATCTCGCGATTATAATTAAATGAATAATCGACATACGTTTATTAGAAATGATTTTTATTACAACATCGTTCGTTTTAATTACAAAATCTCAACTCATCATGAGAGAGTAGGGAACATGTTGGAAATTACGTTTAAAGTCTCTTGTTCTCCGGCACCCTTTGCAAGTATTTTTTTACTGCAATGACTTTATTATCGAATTGATCTTCTCAACGCACTCCTCTTTCTTCTTCGTAATCGCCGCTTCGGCTTCTACGAATTGCTGACGGCCGATCTTGCCCGGTACCAGTTTGTCCACGTATAAAGCTTGTTGCTGATTGTAAAGCTCCTTCAACGTCCTGTCGTACTTTTGCAGCTCCTGAACGCGATCGTACACATCGCCCGACTCGCTTTTCAAACGCTGGGCGATCTCAGCGATAGCACTAGTCGCACTTTTGTACTCCTGATTGATACCCTTCACAACGGACAGGAACGCGTTCGCGTCCTTGTTCGCCTTCAGATACGCCAGCTGATCGTCTAATTCGTTATAAGAAGTCACTCGGCGGTCCTGCGCAGCCAAGATCTTCTCGCACTGTCCAGCGATCCGTAATTTACTCTCAGACGCCTCGTCCTTGTCGATCGAGAAGTCCAGCCTCACATATGTAATTACTAATAAGAATAACAGATACAGTGCCACAGCTACGAGCAGCGGTTCCTGCAACATCAATATCCGCGGGAACGTGTATTTCAGTCTGAAGTTTTGAATGTGATTCTCGACCAAGTTCTTCTTAGTAATCGAAATCACCGGACGGCCGACGGTGTCCAAATACGTGTAATGTAGAGAGTCTGGTAAACGCGTCGCAGGATATGGAAGAATCAGCTCAATGTTCTTCGATCCCTCTGGTAGAATAATCTTTACGACTAACTCGTCTACTACCATGTCGTCGAAGACGTGATCGAGCAATCTCATCTCGAGCGTGTACTGATCGTTCGAGTGGAACAGATACTCGTAACTGGGAACATTGTAACCAACTATGTACTTGGTCTTCCAGCCACCGAATAGTGGGAACCGTGGACGAAGGTTCAACTCCACGGAGTCTTTCTTAATACGCGTATGAGAGGTCGAGATGTTGCCAATCTCGTCTCGGTAATAAATATCAGAGGCAGCCGCGGGTAAAATAGTGTCGAAGCTCTGGATACTGGCTTGTCCCGATTTCGGCTCCCTCGCGAATTCATACCTCGAGAAAGATCCCTTTAACAATGCTCCTGTATGCAGCAGATCGATATGCTCTTCTACAGCTATGTTACCCCAGTGAGAGATCTCGATGCTCCTCTCGAGTCTAGTGACGGTCAAGAATTTATTATTGTTCTCAAAGTGTATGCTGAGCTCCTCGTAAGAGAACGGAGGGATCTTCTCGTAAGAGCCATAAGTGATCACTGAATCGCTCTGTGAAACTGGTTCGAATTTAGTGTAGCTTTCGATATTTCGTGATGGTAGAGAGACAGTGGTCGTCTCTTTTGCTATATTATAAGGCGAGTAAAGGTGAATGTTTCCCGTATACTTAACCAATTGCTTCTCCTTCTGCGTGATCATCTTCGGGTAAGGCACCAGCTCGTGAACCATGATCCATTCTACCTCGACGGACGTGGTTCTTCCGGGTGGCAGTGGGACCTTCAGTTCAACTTTGTAGAACGTTTTGTCTGCATGCTGGTTTATTTTGACCTCGGTCAACTTCAGTTCTACCCGCACGGGTTCTCGGTATGCCGCTATGTAACTGAGGCTGCTCCTCTGTTCGGGTTCCAATGCAAAAATGAAACTTTGCACGTGTTTATCCTTGCTACCGTTCTCCAGCACGATCCTGGTCGTGATCTTCGTTAATTGCGACTGCAAGTCGATGTGTTTCTCCACGGTCTTGAAACTTAATTCTGGATCGATGACGTTACCAGTGGCGAAAGAACAGATGTATAATGCAACGATCAGTAAAACGTTCCATGCCAATACGATTCGGCTGCGTTTCAGCATATTTCTAAGCAATACCCCTTCGGGTTCGCCGTCAGTTTACGACACGTTTAATAAATAACCGGCGAGCGGTATTGCACATGCGACACGTTATAGACGTGGCGGGCGTTTATCTGAGGCCACGTATTATATAGACCGGTAAACCTGGATCACCGGGTGCTTCCTCCTTCTCAGTGGAGACCCTCCGAACGTTCTTCACATCGACCGTAGGTATATTGAAATTCTCTATCTGCACACGTGCTCTAAGCAGTAGAAAATGGTAGGAAAGAAATGAATAGTTGTCTGAAGAAATGTTCATTAGTTTTTACGGTTATTGTAATTAATTACAATTAAATATAAGACAGAATCGTGAACGTTGATGCTGCCATAAAAATAGTAGTCTCTAAGGAATATAATGTCAATGTTTAATAAATCTATATATTAACTGTATAACCTGTATTATTTTACGAAGAATATCTATGAATTAAGAGAAAATGTTATCTCACATTACGTGCAGTGCAAGGAGATCGTTGCATAGCAAGTAAGTAACGTAAGCTTCATTAAAATCATGTATGTCCGTACGTACTAATTCTTTATGTCCAACAGTTTAGCGTCGTACTGCCTCACTCAGATCTATAGATCACGTTTAAAGAATCAAGTAACGTTCTACTGTTCCCAGAGTCGGAACCCGAAATTTAATGCACTCTCTTATAATTCTTTCAAGGTTTGTCATAAAGTACTTTTCCTAGGAAAGAACAATAAGCGAAGGAACAGGGTGCAAATTTAATATTAACGTATTACGTTTGGTTTCAGAAAGAGGCTGAGGAAAATAAAGAGGGAGAAGTAACTAAGTTTACACAGGTAAGTGACATAAATATTTTTATTTTATAAAATACAGTTCTCTCAGAAATACAATCATTTCTTGAAAATACAATACTTACAAACATACAATCAAACAAACAATTGAACATACAATCTTTCTGAAAAATTTGTACTTGGTACGTCCTTGTATAAATCTCTATAGATTAAATAATGTACAGAGTGTTAATGCGAAATGAATTTGTAACAGGGAAACAATAAATTGGATAACATTGATTCGGCGATCAGAGAGCGTAAGTACGATAATGTATGATAAGCCTTTGTTGCATTCTTCCTAATCAAATTTATCCTAATATCAATTTCAGGTATTAAGAAATTGTATACGTTTCCACTGGCTGATCTTAGAAACATTTACAACGTCGTCAACAATGAATTTAATAAGGAATGCATGTCGGTTACGTACGGAACAGAGACGCGCAACAGGAACAGGTGTACCATTAACATCACGTGGCCTGTTGAAACGTCATTTTCTGAAGTAGCGACGAACAAACAGAGCGCTGCGCATAATGCAGCGCTCGCGTGTTTGGAATGGTTACACATGAATAAAAGAGTAAGCAGAAAGAAACCTGTGCTGTACGACGATAAGGACATTAGACACCACTTAGAGGATCAGGGATTTGTCAACATCAACGTAGCACCGGAATGGAAGCAGGAGTTACGTTCACTGATCAAAGACTTTGACGATCGCATAGAACCTGTAATAACGGCCTCACCGATCCCTGAAGTTGAGGAAGAGTCGATGGAAGAAGAGAATGTTTCCGAATCGAACGACGACTTGTCAGATATGATGTCGTATAAGACGAATTATATGTTGAGCGATTACGTACATAAAAAGAAGACCGAAGATCTGCCTATTACTAGATATCGAGAAGAAATTCTCAGTAGTTTAGCAAATAATCAAGTCATAGTTATTAAAGGAGACACCGGCTGCGGCAAGAGCACCCAAGTTCCACAGTTCATAATCGACGACTACGTGGAACAAGGTAGAGGGAACGAGTGTAACATAGTCGTGGCAGAGCCTCGAAGGATCTCGGCTGTCTCTTTAGCTCACCGCGTTGCCTGGGAAAGGAACGAGAATGTGGGCGACGTCGTCGGATATCACGTTCGATTCGACAACGTGCTGCCACAAATGGGCGGTTCGGTTTTGTACTGCACGGCCGGAATACTGCTGCGAAGATTGGAATACGATCCTACTTTGAAAGGAGTGACGCATATAATTATAGACGAGGCTCACGAGAGGAGTCTACAGACCGACATATTACTGAAATTCTTCAAGGACCTACTGAAAACTCAACCGCACCTGAAGCTCATAATTATGTCTGCAAGTATAAACGCAGAATTGTTTCAAGAGTACTTCGCGTGCTCGATTATCGACGTGCCTGGCAAGACGTACCCCGTCGAAATGCATTTCATTGAAGATATACCCATTTTTAATAAGAACCAGGGAAATAGAAGTTACTCCAGGGATATAGAAGTTCCATATGACAAAGTGGTACAACTGATAAGATGGATCATCGGTACTAAACCGCCGGGAGCAATTTTATGCTTCCTCCCGGGCTGGCAAGAAATAAAGGAGATGAACAATTTGCTTGTCAACGAGGGCATCAGGAATCTGTTCATAATGTCACTTCATTCCAAAATACCGATTAAAGCCCAGCAAAAGGTTTTCGAGCCGGTGCCGGCCAACAAGACCAAAGTGATACTGTCTACGGACATAGCAGAGACTGGCATCACGATCAAAGACATCAGCTACGTGATCGATACGGCGATTAAGAGACAAGTAGAATGGAACGAATTCAAGTTTTTGAGCAGTTTAAATTTCAGTTATATATCCCAAGCGAGCATTTGCCAACGGTAAGTTGATCTTGAGGAAGGTTCCCATTCTTACATCCCCCTTACCGGATACCGTGATTTCAAACTAACTTCGATTGATGTCTAGAAAAGGGAGAGCTGGACGTGTAAAGCCAGGAGAAAGCTACCATCTAATTACGAAAAGACAATATGAGAAACTGGACCCATACCCAAAACCAGAAATATTGAAAATTCCATTGGAGGAAGCGATTATTATTAGTAAGACGTTGAAGAACGAGAAAGCGTACGATTTCTTTGGAGAGATGATCGAAACTCCTAGTAAGGTGTCCATAAATCATGCGATCAGCAATTTAATGAGGCTCAGCATCCTCGACGAGGACGAGAATCTCACGAGTTTGGGAAAACGTGTTTCATATTTCGCGTTGCATCCGAAACTAAGTAGGGCAGTGGTATTGTCCTGTATATTCCAGTACGTAAGACATACTTATTTCGTATTTCACTTAATTCTTTCAGTAAATTCAATTTTCCATCGTTTTAAGGTGTTTAGATCCTGTATTATCGATAGCTACCGTGTTTTCGACCGCGATGGGCCCTAGTGTTTCGCTGGACGAAACGGAGAGCGTCAACGTGGTTTATAAAGATCAGAAGAAAGAGTATCATAAGACGAGCGATCATATCGCTATCTTACAGTATTACGACAGCCTGCAGCATGCTAAGAATCCATCGCTGTTCAGTTTCTCCAATGACACGCAACAAGTGAAAAGTACACACGCGGTGAAAAGTAAGTCGGTCGTCACGAGAATTAATCGTTTAATTTTATTACATTTGTTAATTTAATTTTTATTTCAATCAATTATTTAATTCGCAGAGCTGTATTTATTACATATGAATAATCTCATAAGCGCCGGGATGATCTCGTCAACGTTCGATTATAAGAATATGAACCTCTACGGCAAGAACAACGAGATAATCCGCGCGATGCTGTTCGCCGGTACGAATCATCTGCTGAAAAGAAACTGTTACGGATACAAGAATGGATGTTTCATGAGCAACACGAACGAGTTCATAACCGAGTTAGTGTACCTTCGAAAGGCAAAGAAATTGCTCCATTCTTCAAATTTCTATTTTCCATGTTTCCTCTTCTCAGGGACGGCGAGAAAGTTAAGCTCAAGACGGAAAGCGTGAATTATAACAGAAGAACGTGGCCGAGTGATACGATGACTTATATCAACAAGATGGAATTCGTTAAAAGGCATTCGTGTTTAATTACCGACACCAGCATGGTCTCTCCGCTGACGGTGCTACTGTTCAGCCAGGGCGAGGCTTGTTACGAACAAGTACGTATTTTCCTAATCAAGTTTATCAAATATAAAATATCTAAATTCCTTTCAGATGGACAACGTTTCCGAAGGTGATGCTGTTATTTCTATAGACAGTATAAGTAACGTGAAACTGTGCTGTGACAAGGAGTCAGTATTTCCTCCATAGTTCTTTATTCATTTGTTTTCAACCTTATTATACGTCGCTTATTTCTTTCCAGAGCTGCGGATTTGCTGTTGAAATTCCGGAGCATATTGTGGAACGTGGCGGACTTTATAATTAAGTATGAAGGCGAGAAAAATGAAGACAATTTGAGTGTAGTTAAATCGTACAAAGAAAAACTAATGCCGGTGCTCTCGAAAATGTTGTTGGAGTCCTCGAGAGATATCGAAGAAGAAAGTGACGACGACGAGGACTCTATGAAATATTAGGATTATTTGTATAATAAATAGTTTTAGGCGAAGTTTCTATGTACATAAATTTATATGTATGACTATTTGTCTGTCGATAATAAGTACATCGATAGATTTCCGAAATAAATCTGTTCTCTTTCTTTCCACCATATTTCCGGAATCTTTCAGCTGAAAGCCGGAGATCAATCCATTAATCGCGGTACATACGAATAATACGAATTCTGTTTCCTTAATGGTAAAAAAATATTAACAGTGATCTATTTCCTGGCATTCAGACATACTCGGATTGTTCGTATATCCGGTACAGCGATTAGCTTCCGGTCCCGCAGTCATGACTACAACATTTCTGATTGCTATTTAGAAAATGATTCGATATAATATTTATTAAAATAACAATGAAATATTTCTATATAATTCTCACAACTTCGTATAAAATTAGTATCGATTAAAATCTACGTTGATATATACATCTCGCAGGTACATTGAAGCGTGCGCTTCTGATACAGATAACTTCAATTAAACTAAGAAAAAAATTAATATAAGAATATATAAAATAAACTATGTTAAATATATAAAATTTATAAATAGAAAATATAATATAAATATAGTAATAAATCAACTAACAATTAAAACCATCGCGTAGATATATAAATGCCAAACAAATAATATTTTATGTAACAACGATAAGTAAAAATATTCTTAAATTACGATTTCGCTTTTCAGGAATGTATAAAATCTATATTATTATAATCTCTTCACTGTAACGTGACTAACATGAAAAAAAACAACAGGTATATTATGTAACATGGCTTAGAAAGTGTTTAACTGTCTGATATAATGCAGAAGGAAACAATCTACCATTTGTTACATATAACACTCTTATTTAAATTTGTATCTCCATTATCAGGAAATTATTTATATCGACTAGCAATTAAGTTTTAATATTCATATACTAGTAAAATATAAATTATCGATACGTAATATTGCACTTCCGGCTGCTTCATCGTTAGTTTCGATTGTAATGGCAATTTCAATTATTTTCATTACCTATATTTAACATACAGGGTGAGTCGCATAACGTTTGCACCCTATATAAATTCTTAATCATAGAACTGAACGTATACATGTATTTGTATAA